GCCACCCGCCCGCCCCGGGGGCCGCCGGGAACTGCCGTTTGCCCCGCCCCGCCCGGGGAGCTGCCGGGCCCCTCCGGTGCGTGACATCACTACACCGCCCCAGGGTATGGTGGGAAATGGAGTCCGCAACGCGGAAAAGCTCCAGGCCGACAGGGTAGGGGCGGGCAGGAGGTCGGCCACAGGGAATGCTGGAAAATGGAGTCCATCAGCGGAAGTTACTAGATTCGCTGGTCCCCCCGCCCCGTCCCTCCCCGTCCCCCCACACCCAGCACAGTGAAAAGTCTGAGGCTCCAAAGCATCAAATGGAAACGGCCTGGATGAGGGCACGCCCCCGGGGAACGCTAGGAAAGGACTCGAGCAGCCGGTGCATGCTGGGAAATGTAGTGCCCCGTTTAAGGGGCCAAGCCAGGACACTGCCCCAGGGAAATGTGGGAAATGATGGCCTGGTACAGGGGCGAGGGAGGGGTCCAAAAAGGTACGCTGTAGAACTAATTTTTCCCTACATCTTATCAACTTTCCGTAGGCTACTTTTTATATCTGCCTCCTTCAACTAGAAATAAGCTCCATGAGGGCAGGGGTTTTTGTCTTCTGTGTGTACTACCTATTCTGTGTCTCGGGCTGAGCTTAAGGATAGGATGGAAAAATACTTTTGAATGAATGAATGAATGGACTGCCTGGGTCGTGGGAAAAACCAGGGACCCGTGGGAAAGTGAGTCCTACTCCCAACCTCTCCCGTGACTTCCCAGGGCATGCTGGGAAAGAAAGCCTGGCAGCAAAGGTGAGGGCACTCTGCCAATAACCTAGTGCACGCTCGGAAATGTAGTCCTCGGGGCTACGCCCCAAAGGCCCAGCTCGTCCTGGGCAGGGTCCAAAGCACCTCAGGAAATGAGGCTCCAGGGCAAGAGAAGTCCCAGGTCCCTAATGGTACTCCCTGCATCGTGATGGGGCAAAGCCAAGCGACCGGGCCCTCAATGACAGTATCCTCCTGACACACCCCGGGCCGTGGGGCACTCTGGGAAGTGTAGTCCAGGCTGTCGCAAAGTCTCGACGTGCTGGGACTTGTAGTGCAGGGCAAAGGTTCTCCAGTAGGTTTGGAAGGTCGAGCCTTCTTCTAGTAGACCCAAGATAAGCACACACTGACCCTGACTTTGAGTGTCCTGCAGCTAAACCCAAAACGGAAAGATAAAGACACTTTGGGATAGGAACAGAGACCCACAGAATTCACAAAGAACGCTTCCAAAATCTGGACGGGGGCAACAAAGTTTTCCCCAAAGAACATTGGAGCAGCCCCTCCCCTCTGAAGTGCTTCAGCTTGTGCAGAAAAAAGAACTACAAATCCCATGAGGCCTGGGAGGGCTGGCCAT